CTTTCCCTGGGCTTTGTCCAAGCAGCCAGCTCCCTTTTTCCTGTCCTCTACGATTCCTTCATTGTCGAGCTCAGCCGGGAGAAAGCTCAGCTGCCTCAGGAAGTAGTTTTAGAACCAAGTTCTGCGCGTTAGGTCTGCATTCATTGCCTTTATATGCCATTAATTCTCGCCCTTAAGTGTAACGACTGCCTGGGAGCTTTATTTGCGTTCTTTCGTTAAAGTTCTAAACCGAGGAGGGCTAGGAGGTCGCCCCTCAGCGAGCCGAGGCCTGGGCACAACGCGCAGCTCGCAGCGGCAGAGTCCAGCGCGCATGCGCGGCCCCGGGCCGGCGGCGCCCGTTCACCCCCAAGTTCTGTTGAGGGACAATTTGAGTCGAGAACGGAAGGCTTTCTACTAGTTTAAAAAGTGTTCAGGAAAACGTCACCATCCTCATAATGATACATTTCATATAAGGCAAAAGGTAAATCCTTGAGCTTTGGGAGCCCGGATGTTAAGTGGCCTCGTAGGTCAAGTGTAGGCTTTTCTTGAGACTTTCCCATACCATTTCTCTGAACCAGTTTCTTAAGCTAAGTGTCTGAGCCCATTTAACTGTGGAAGGGAGCAGAATAGTTCAGAATTGTAAGAATAAGGTTTACCTGATTGTGTGTGTGTGTGCGTAGGCCACTTTTCTTGGGGTGTATTTCTTTACTATTTTATATATTTTTATTTTATCCCTGTGTATCATTGCAGCGTACACAATGGCTGTATATTAGTTCAAAGTTATTACCATACACATTGTCATCAGCAGATAATTTTCCATTTTTGTGTCCCTTAAATGTTTTGTTTCCTCCTTTTCCTCCTTGATTCCTTCCTTCTCACCCTCCCCAACTTGATCTAATTTGAGATTATTTTCTTTGGGATTTTATTTTTTGATTTGGTAGAGCTATCCATATTATAGTACAACAAAGTTATTCCCAACATCGCCAGGCACAAATTTTACCGTCTACTTGACATTCACTTGCATTTTTCCAAAAGACTATCCAAGAATACATATATTTTTGCCTTTTTACCTTATTTTTCAATTTTACAGGTACACTGAGTTAATCTACAGTTTAACCTTGCTATTTTGTATCTTTTTTTCGGGTGGGGGTGGGGGGTGGGGTTGCTATAGGGTGCGTGCGCTCGCCAGAAAGCCAGAGAGAGACAGAGAGGCAGAAAGCGAGGAATCAACCCCCAGGGTTGATTATATATACATATATAATCTAGTTATATATATATACACATATATAATCTAGTTTCATATATATTTACACACACACACATATATATAACTAGAAATGGAAAATTATTGACGATAACATGCATGATTAAGCCACTATGCAGTATATTCTGGATGGGAAATTATTGTGTATGCCGTGACAATGCATAGGGAATGCATGTGAATTAATTAATTAAAAAAATGTAAAAAAAAAACCCCAAAAACCTCATGCAGGGCATGTGTGCATGTGTGTCCACAATCCTGGGGGGATAGTGGAGGAGAAGGGATTGTGGATGGCCATCACTAGGGGGGTGATTTCTCACTTTCTTCTACAAAGGAGCCCACACACCCAAAACAAAAAAAAAAAAAAAAAAAAAAAAAAAGTAAATAAAAATAAAGTAAAAAAAAGAACCTGTTCAGTCAGAATTTTTAATTTGAGGGTTTTTTTTTGGGGGGGGGTATATGTTGTGTTATAGGATGCATGTGCTCACCAAAGGGAGACAGAGAGAGAAAGATACAGTGAGATTGAGGCCAAGTGAGAAAACACCCCTCCAGGGATGGTGACCTGCCATCCTGTCTCCATTCTCCCCTCAGGATTTTGGGCACCTATGCTCACATGCCTCATGTGAATTTCAATCCAAGGGGTCTGAGACTCTTACTGGGGATAGTGGGGGAGAAGGGATTGTGGATGGCCGTCATCACTGGGGGTGGGTGATTTCTCACTTTCTATGGAGGTCAGCAGCCTTAACCTTCACACTATGTGTTGACTCCCATCTATTATAAATTGAATGTATATTAGATGAGAACAATTGCAATTAATTTCTTTGTAATATTTCAAAACACCTATGTTTAACATTTAATTTTCAGCTAGTTTGTATAAGCTTTGAAAATTTTGCCTTTTTGTTGATTGATCATATTACTTAAATGAGCCAAGAGGTCAAAATTATTAAAGTGTGAATTTCCAAATGAGTTATTTTGGATCCAGCTATTTTTGATGTCTCTCTCAGAGGCAGAATACCAGGAGGAACAGGGCGTGCATTGGGAAGCTGTGTGCTGTTTGTTTATTCTTTTATAGCAAATAATTTATGTTGAGTTTTTTTTTGTGTGTGTATGTGTGTGTTTTTCATTTTATAAAGTCATATGCAATGATTCTGAAAGTAGTGTGAAAGCTAGTCCAATGCCTTTGTTTGCAGACAAGAAATAGCTCCCCCCTTGAGGGCCCTTGCCCAGTGTCACAAAGCTAATTAGGACTATAACTTGTAATAGTAACCTAATATTCTCACTAGATTTTCTTGGCCTCCTGTGTTCTTTGTTAGTCACTGGCACAGTGGCATGTAAAAAGTGTGTATATGGCTGTAGACAAAGCCATCTGTAGGGGAGAATTTTGAGTTGAATGTTGAAGGCATTCTGACATTTGAGATGTCAGATACTGACTATATTGTGGTAGATAAATTTTGTTTTGCTTTATTCCAGCATCCATCCTCCCAACTGATAATGATACCTCAATTGTGCTTAAGGAGGAGTACCCTAATCCCACTGGATGAAACCTTATTTCGAGTATTCATCAAGGTATCCCACCATCCTCTGGTCAAGGAGTTGCAATATGACTTGTTATTAGTTTTCTATTGCTGCAAAAGCAATGATCATAAACTAGTAACTTAGAACAACATGAATTCATTTTTTCACAGTTTCTGTGTCAGAAGTATGGTCATAGGGTAGCTGGGTACTCTATTTAGGATCTCACCAGGTCTTAAGTTTGGCCCCTCATTTAAAAAATTTTTTTTGGGGGGACCAGCAGGTGGCATGGTAGTTAAAGCACTGGACACTCCCACATGGCCAACCACGGTTTGAATCCCAGACCTGGTGGCTTGCTTTCTCACTTGCCCTCTCTCTCGCTTTCTGTGTTTCTCTCTGGCCAAATAAAAATAAATGAATGAATAAATAAAATTAAATAATTCTTAAAAAATTTTTTTTTTATTTTTATGGCTAAATAATATTTTATTGCATGAGCATTTCACATTTTATTTATCCATCCACCATTGGATTGTTTGTGCCTTTTAAGTATTATAAATAGTGCTTCTATGAACATTCATTTGCCAGTCTTTAAACATTTGTTTTCAGATATTCTCTTGGCTATACATCTAGGACTAGAGTTGCTGGGTCATATGATAATTCTGTTTAGCTTTTTGAGGAACTGCTGGGCTATTTTCCACAGCAGTTACATTATTTTATATTCCTACCAGTATTGTGTGAGGGTTTCAAATTTCTCCATATTCTAGCTAACACTTCTTTTTGTTTTTAACAAAGCCATCTTACTGGATGCAAAATGGTATTTCATTGTGGTTTAGATTTGTATTTTCCTAATGACTAATGATGTCCCCCTTTTTTTTTTTCTTTTTTTTTTTTGGAGAGGTTTTTGCTATACGGCGCGTGTGCTTGCCAGACAGACAGAGAGAGACAGAGAGACAGAAAGCGAGAAATCAACCCCCAGGGGGGATGGCCACACTGCAGTCCCTTCTCCTCCATTCTCCTCTCGGGATCTTGGGCACGCACGCACACGCACCCCACGTGAGGTTTAAGCCACCGGGTCCGGGACGTGAACTGCTATCGACTATGTGGGAGTCCAGCGACATAGGCATTACGTTAACTGCTGGTCCCCAATGTCCCACTTTTTCAAGTGCTTATTAGATATTCGTTTATTTTGGAGAAATATCTACTTTAGTCCTTTGGGTGAGTTTAAGCCACCAGGCCCGGGAATCGAACCGCGGTCGATTACTTGGGAGTCAAGCGACATAGCCATTATGCCAACTACTGGTCCCCATTTTTGAAATGGGTTGTTTGTTGTTGTTAGTTTAAAATGTCAAATTCTCCTTTTCTTTCTTGCACAGTAGTAGTTTTAAATTGATGTATTATATTTCATTTATCTATTTTTTTAATCTCTCCTTGTTCCTACTTCAACCATGACTCAAAATATAGATTCTTGGGACCAGCAGGTCACATGGTGGTTAAGGCGTTGGACACTCCCACATAGCCGACCACGGTTCTAGTCCTGGACCTGGTGGCTTGCTTTCTCACTTTCCTCTCTCTCTCTCTGTGTCTCTCTCTGGTCAGATTAAAAAAATGAAGAAATGAATGAATGAATGAATAAATAAATCTTAAAAAAAACTCCAAAAAACTATAGATTCTTATTACATCTTCTTTCTATTTTGCACATACCCCCTTGTTCAGACTCAAGATAGGTTAATGAACCATTTCTCAAAGAGTGTCATGCTGAACACAGGCACAAGATCACCCAGGTAAGTGTGTGTGTACACATACATTTTAAAAGTTGACAGTTTTAGATGCTCTAAATATATTGTATCAGAATGTTTGAAGACATTGTCTATCATTAAAAATAATGATACAGGGCCAGCCCACAGTTTGGTGGTTAAGGTGACTGGATCCTTCGTGGTGGGTTTGAGTCTTGGACCCCATAGTTCAGAAAACATACCCATCAAATATGTGTGCGTCAAAGCCCAAAAGGTAGAAGAAATGGAGAAGGGATTGCAATATGACAATCCCTAGGGAGGTGCTTTTTCAGTTTATCTTTCTCTTTTTCTCTCTCTAGTGAGTGCATATACCTTCTAGCAAGTTAAAAAAAAATAGTGATACATGTTACCTATGGAAACAATGCATACAGATTTTTATTTTTATTTATTTTTTTAAAAAATTATTTCTTCCTTCCTTCCTTCCTTCCTTCCTTCCTTCCTTCCTTCCTTCCTTCCTTTAAATTTGACCAGAGAGGGACAGAGAGAGACAGAGATAGAGAGAGAGGATGTGAGAAAGCAAGCCACCAAGTCCAGGACTTGAACTGTGGTTGGCCATGTGGGAGTTAAGTGCTCTTAAACACCATGCACCTGCTCGCCCATTTATTTTTTAAAATTTAGTCTTTCCATTTACTCTAAAGGTATTTTCTTGTTGCTATATGAAGATTCTTCAATAAATTAAGGAGGTACGACAGGTAACGTAGTAGTTAAGGGGATGGACTCCCATGTGGTTGACCATGGTTCGAGTCCCAGACCCAGCTGCTTGAAAGTCATGCCAAGGGTGGGTGTGGGGGTGTGTGGTGCGTGCCCAAAATCCTGAGAGAAGAATAGAGGAGAATGGACTGTGGTATGGGCATCCCCCCTCGCTTTCTGTCTCTGTCTCTTTGTTGAGTGCATGCACTCTTTAGTAAAAATCTCTCCAAAAAATTAATGGAAAATGTATATTATGAAAAACTATGCATAATTTCTAAATTTTCTTACATCCAAGTAAGCTCACAATTTAATTCCATTTTCTATGAACTTTTTAAAGTTCTTGTGTATGTATAATCAGCTTTTCATCTTAATGTCTATATATGTATTATACTATATTAAAAAATTCTTTTTTGGGGGGGCTATTTTAATTTTTTTTTATTAAGGGCTGTACAAATATCCAGAAAGATAAATAAATGTGAAGCAATCATATCTGTCCTAATATGAAGAACTTTCTTTCACAGCATTGTTTTCCTTCACAATGGCCTTTGAATCACAGGAGGCAGTGATTCCGTGCCATTTCCTCTGCTTTCATTACACACTGCAGGATTTCGGAATCAATATCCCCACCCTTGGTCTTCTCATTTATAAATCAATTGCATTTTCCATACATTGTTCAGAGGGAGTGTATTTTTTTCTGTTCCACAAAGAGGACTTTTTTGTTCAAAACTGGATCATAATGCAGAAGAGTCAGTTTCTCTGTGTAGTCGGTGTCTCTTGGTGTTGAAGGAATAACTTACACCAGCTTGGCTTACCATTTTCACCATAATGGTTAGGAGACTGCAGAGGGGAACATGGCGGCCGTGATCGTGCACTCTCGGTAACCCGCCCCTTAAAAAGTAGTTTATGTTGTAGGACACTTAGATCATTTCTAATTTTTTTTTTTTTGAGAGATTTTCACTGTAGGGTGCGTGCGCTCGCCAGACAGACAGAGAGAGACATAGAGACAGAAAGCGAGAAATCACCCCCCAGGGGGGATGGTCACGCCGCAATCCCTTCTCCTCCATTCTCCTCTCGGGATCTTGGGCACGCACGCACATGCGCCCGGCGTGAGTTTTAAGCCACCGGGTCCGGGACACGAACTGTGGTCAACTACGTTGGAGTCCAGCGACATAGCCATTACGCTAACTGCTGGTTCCCTATTCCTATTTGATTTTTAAAATACAAGTTGATATTATAAAAATTACGAACATCGTTTTCTCAATTAAGCTTGTTTTTTAGTTAATGTTACAAGCACTTGTTTAAAAGCAAAATAATATAAAACTTTTCATGAAAAATCAGTATTCCCTGTACCATACTCCCTACCCTCATGTCTCACTTTCTAGATACAGTAACCACCTTTAAGTATTACCCCCCCATTCATGATAGGACGGGTGTATGCACATGTGAGATTGAGAGTGAATGTGTGTGTGTGTGTGTGTGTGTGTGTGTATGTATGTGTGTGTGAGAGAGAGAAAGAGAGAGAAGTATCCTTTACTGGATCTGGTCATACCTTTACCTCATTTAGTTGTTTACTCTGGTATTTACTTCCATTTTCCCAAGCAATAATTTTATACTACTATTTCTTGAATTTAATTTTAAATTTTATCTCTGGAATTTGTACTACAAAATATAAGCTGTCAGCTTTTTTATACACTTGTTTCCTTCTCCATATCTTTTAAATGATATATTCAGTTAAATCAGTATTCAGTGTTTATATTATTATGTTTATTGTTATTATAAATTATGTAATTATATATATTATATAATTATTATTCACAGCTAAACCACATTATACTATTGCTAAATTTCCTTTCTACTAGAAGTTCTGTCTTCCTAGGCATTAATGATTATAGTGTTCTTTTTTGTTTGTTCAGTTTTCTTTATGATTATCACTAATTTAGCCCCACAGTCTCTGGAAGAAGTATAAACCTCTCATTATATTCAAGTGTATCAGGCAATCTATGAGATGTTCCCCCTTTCTCTGTCTACATCCTTTCCCTCCCTTCCTCTCTTTCTTTATTCCCATTGCTCATCTAGGTATACCTTCTAGAATCTTCTATCTTTTTGCTTCAATTTGGACCAGCCACTGTTAATCGTGTTACTTACCTGGGATCCTGGGAGCTCTCTTAAATTCTCTCCTGTGATGTCTTCTGTTGCCCTGGATCATGTCTTCTTTTTCCATGGGGAGCACATACCCCAGTACCTTCCTCAGAAAGGGTACAAGAGAGGGAAAAAATATTTTTTTTAAACTTTGCACAAGAACAAATGTCTTCATTCCTGTATGTGGTTGACAATGTGGGTGGGTAGAAAAAGGTTGTAGATTTAAAAAGTTTAACCAGGGTCCAGCTGGTGGTGTAGTGGTTATAGTGCTGGACTCCTACATGGCCTACTAGGTTTGAGTTCCGTACCTGGTGGCTTGAATGTCACGTGGGGGGAGCATGTGCATGTGTGCCCAAAATCCTTGGAGGAGAAGGGATTGTGACATTGCCATCCCTCTTGGAGGGTGATTTCTCACTTTCCCTCTTTGTTTTCTCTGGTGAGTGCCTGTGCCCAGTGGCAAAAACCTTAAGAAAAAAAAGTTTAACCAGACACCATAACGTTCTTTTAAAAAGCCTCCAATGAGGGTTTAACTTCATATGTATTTTGAAAGATACAAGCCATATGAGTCTGATCTTAAAAGTAAATTGTAGGGCCCAGCAGATGGAGTAATAAGGTTATATTGCTGGCCTCCCACATAGTCGATCACAGTTCAAGTCCCAGACCTGGTGGTTTAAAACTCATGTCGGGCACATGTGTGTGCATGCCCCAAATCCCGAGAGGAGAATGGAGGAGAAGAGACTGCAGAATGGCCATCCCCTCTGGAGGGATGATTTCTTGCTTTCTGTCTCTGCCTTTCTGGAGATTATATGTGCCCTTACGTAAAAATCTCTCTCTAAAAAAAATAAATTGTATATCTGTTTGCTTTTTAGCCCGAGTGTAGGTACAGTTTTACTCAGAAATTTCCAAATTTTTCCCTAGAATTACAGATTACCATAGTCCATATGGCCAGACTGAGAATGAGATTATTTGTCCTTGGTTTATACATGAGAAAGTCAACATATTCCTTTATTCCTTTTTTTTTTAAAAAATAATTATTTTATTTAATTTCATTTATTCATTCATTTATTTTAATTTGACCAGAGAGAGAGAGAGAACGAGAGATACAGAAAGTAAGCCACCAGGTCCAGGACTCCAACCATGGTCGGCTATGTGGGAAGGTCCAGCACCTTAACCACTATGCTGCCTGCTGGTCCCAACATATTCCTTTTAATATTTCCTTTTTGTACAGTCAGGAGAAGGACTTTTTTTTTAAATTTTTTTTATAGTTTTTGCTATAGGGTGTATGTGCTTGCCAGAAAGACAGAGAGACAGAAAGCAAGAAATCATCCCCCAGGAGGGATTGCATTCTCCTTCATTCTCTTCTTGGGATTTTGGGCACACACGCATATGTGCCTGGTATGAGTTTTAAGCCACAGGGTCTGGGACTTGAACTGCAGTTGACTATGTGGGAGTCCAGCAACATAAACCATTATGTCATCTGCTGGTCCCAGGAGTAAGACTCTTAAAGCCACTTGAAAGCTGTGAAAATTGTCTTGCTAAGTTTTTGTTTTTATGTTTACATTTAAAAAATTTAGGTGAAATCAACATAACTATAAATCATAAAATTAACTATTTTAAAGTGGATAATTCAGTAGCATTTAGTACATTCGTAGTGTTGTTCAGCCACTTTGTCTAGCTAATCATAAAACATTTCATCACCCTGACAAGACTGATGAATATTGATATTGCTTCTTAGAACATAAACTTGTATCTTGGTTTCAGAATTTGGTCTTAATATATCAGTAACCAGTTAATTATATTCTAACTATGCACTTCCCTCAGAACTACATTGTACACAGTTTATACTTTTCTTATCTGGAAAACCACAATATTTATGTCCTTTTTGCTTACTGTGTTCTTGGAATATACCAATGTAGAAATTCAGTTAGTTCAGAGCTGGCTCTGTGGCCTGATGATTAAGGCAACTGGATCCTATATGGCCAGCCCTGTGATGGTTCTAATCCCAGCCCTGGGATTTCAGGTGGTTTGAAAAACAAACTAGGTGTGTATGTGTATGTGCCCCAAATCTCAAACGGTGGAGAAATGGAGGAGAAGGGACTGTAGTGTGGCCATGTGTCATTAGGGGGTGTTTTCTTTCTCTCCCTGAGCACTTGTGCCCTC